CCGCCGTGGCCGGTCGTGCGCTCGCTATTTATTGCCCGCACTCGGCCGGTTCACAACATAAATATGTTACACCTATGGCCACACCTACTGCCCGCAGCTCGCGAATTCCTCCGCCAGCATCCGGCCGGACCGCGAAAAGAATTACGCGGATAAACGCGATAAATGCGGTTCCGTCGTTTTACGCGCGACGTCTGTTTCTCGTGGCTACTACCTTTTTTTCGTTTAGCTGTTTGCTTTTACGTGTTTCGAGATTTCACGACGATGCTCCTTTTGAATTATGTACCTTTCGTAATGGAAAGAACGAAACAAAATTTTCTGTCGACTCGACAAGACGGTAAATTGAGATTTTTAGTATTAAAATGGAATATTTATTAAAAATAACGATATATATGTTCTAAGTATGATGTCACCGCGTCCCAGTAGTATTTATTTTACAAAACGAAAGCTGTCGACAACCTCTTACCCAAAAGGTACGATCTACTGCTACAAGAATCGAGGGTGACGTAAGAGCGAACCTGTTAAGGGCTCGACGCAAGGGTAGCACGAAGGGTCGAGTTTTGGAAGATAAAAGAAGGACCAACTGTTGAATATCGGCCAGGCTTGTCACGATCAATTCTCACGTCCGCTGCCACCTTCGATTCTCATCCAAACGAACTCCAATCGTATTGTAGAAATAAAGAAACTCTTACTTACGTTCTTCGTGGTTTTCTCAAAGTTTTCAACTGCCTCTGCCCGATTACGTTTGGGCCCCGCTCTGCCAGCCTGTTCAGGACCGTGAAGTCTCGGTGTCTTCCTCTGTGTCGTCAGCTAGACGATTTTTCTCTTCAGCATAGAAAACGAAACAGTGCAATAACGAACTAATGTGTACAACGATCAACGACGCAAGTAAAGGGAACAGGGTGTGTCTGAATGAAAGAAGAACAGAAAAATCAACAGAGATACCGGTGCACGACGTTCGTCCCTCAAAAGACGCGTCGATTGGAGGGCTCGACTCACGGCCACGACGCGCAAAAGCTCGACAGCTCCGCGGACGCACGTGCAACTCGGCCGCGTGGCACGTGGTGTTTGTCGGAGTGGCTCGGCTCGAAAGCCGTTCAGCAGAGCTTGCAAGCTCTCGAGCTTTCATTGGCCGATGGGTGGAAACTGCGCATGATTGCGGGTGTGGCCAGAACTTAAGGGGCGGAATAAGCTCGGGGTGACGATAGGACATCCCGAAAGGGGCACGTCTTCGTGGGTGTCCACATTCCTAGCCTATCCCACCCCTAACGTGCTTTTTCCTTAAGCTTCTAACGAGCGTGAGAACCGCTCTCTCCCGTTCGAGCTTCGAGAACTTGCGAACTGACTTCTTCGATCCAGAGGCTGCCAGCCAGGGTGGGGTAGGGGGTATAGAGGCAAGCGCGGTAATTAAGGGAAACTAACGACGCCGAAGACCCTGGAGGACACGGGCCGATAGTTAATGCGACCCGTCACCGTATTATTCATCGAACTTTTTGCCATGTAGTATGCTCTGAACTTTTCAATGGTGTTACAGGGAATCATGGATGGCGAAGGGATTTTATTGTCTGCTCGAACGGTCTTGAATTTTAACGACGGCGAAGATTCGGCGAAATAAATTCGAATAGAAGATGTATCGGCGAGAAACAGCTTCGCTACTTTTCTGTAAGTGTTTTCTTTGTTTGTTATTTGGAAGATATAGATTATGTATATCTGTCTCGTAGCTTTCGTTGATAAGTGAACGAAGACATTTTCTCGTGTACACGAGCTATCCAATAGTCATCGATCGACGCAACGTATTTTTCTTTTGTAGCAACAGGTGGAAGTTATTTGGTATTACGCGAAAAGAAGCAGGAATGCGGAAGTGTGCAGAGTGTTTTTCACGATCGGTAGCAGTGCAGGACGATCGTTAACAAATCTGCCGGACCGGTCAATGTTTAACGAGGTCGTGTGTCCCTGGTAAAGCGAAAGTCTAATCACGGCCGACCGATAAATAAATCGGTCTAGCTAAACAGCAAATCAGTTAGGAGGATGGTGTGATTTCAGGGAAGAGCACGCGGCCCGGTACGGTGGCGAAGGGGGTTTGGGGTACTTCCATCACGTATTTACACGCTATGCTTGCTGATTGGCGTGCGCGGCTACCAACGTTTTAATGATTTACCCTTGGAGAATGGCATTTAGCCTAGGACGATGTAACGTGATTTATTATTGATTGCCGATTATTGATTCACGCCGAGTAAACGTAATTCGATTGTAAGCAGTCAAAATCGGAGTTTCGAAGCTTTTCAGACGTAGCTGCCACTTGGAGCAAAGGAATTTCAAATAATGGCAGCGGTTCGTCGCTCCGTGGAAGCTTCGTGTAGCGGAAAATTAACTTGACAAGCACAGACTAACGTTAATCGTCTGTGACTGACGTAATCGTACCTATAACCCATACCACCACGTTAGATTTTACGAAGCTTTCGTCCACGAAGACGTTCTTCTTCACTCACGGGGAGAAAACGACAAGGACGCGTAAATACGTAATGGGTCGTCGTCTCGACTTGGCCAAATTATATATAACGTCAACTATTGATTGCAATTATGACGGTGGCTGGTGGAAGACTAGCGCGATACGGATATAGCATCGATCAGTATTTCATAAATTCGCAATGACGCACGGCTCGGTCGTGAGTGACGTGTCATATATCGCGTAACGACGAACATTTATGTGCACTCGCCGAGCACATAATTGCAATTAGAGCGGAATTCATTTACATCAGGCCCGACGTTCGATTTGTTCAGGGAGAAAGCACGAATTTATACGGCCACGATGGTGCACGCGTTCGCCCCGTCCCGATTTATTTCCGTGCACGTCAATCTGGCTGTGGTGCCGCGATGTAAATAGGATTAGATTAGCCTAAAGATCGTGCCAGCGTTCGGTGATCGCCTGAAAAGAAACAAAAAATAGTTACGCTATTCGCGAAACGATGCAAATTCTCGTCTATGTGATTTCGTTTCGAAGATAGGAGAAGAGAGTTCGACGTGGATACTAAATTTTCCTAGAAACACCGCGAAATCGTTTCTCCCAGTTGGCAAATATCGCTCGATCGTAAATATTTACACTGTTTCGCTATTTTTTCACACATCCATTCGCTATATGGCTTTCCCCACCCATCTTATCGACGAGAATTTATCGCTGAAATACGATTTTATGAAAATTAACGCTGTTTTGATCGCTTGAATAAATAAATAAATACATTCTGCGTTTATTATTTTTGAAGAACGTTGAGGAGTGCGCCACGGTTTACGTTCGTTAATACGTGTAAACACGATAATAAGGGGAAAAGATGGGACTGTAAACCGCGTAAAAAATCAGAGGACACGCATGAACGATCGAAAAGGGCAAGTTTGAAAGAAAAAGTACAGCAGCTGAACGTTCTGAAAATTTCATTTTGATTTTTTTAAATACCATTCACGCTACCGCCACGTTCGGGATTAAAAGCTAATTCGAGCGATTCAGTTTAATTGAGCGATTAACGGCTAAATAAAGCCCGTTTCTCTCTCTCTCTCTCTCTCTCTCTCTCTCTTTCGCCCTCGTGCCGCTTATCCCTCCTCTGCCGCTTCTCTCTCCGATACCTCCCTCCCCCACCACCTTTTAGAACAAATCGTTCGTGATGGTGTCCAGCCCGGTGGAAAATATAATTCAAAGATATTTATGGCTGGATTACCGCTGGAATTGGGTATCTAATATACATGACCGGTTCCACAGGCCGGCCGGACTTTAACTGTCCACCAGGGGGTTACGTTTCGCCCTTTTAAAACGATGCCAGCCCGCCATTACCGTGTAAACGCTGGCCAATTACGAAACCG